TGGCATTTCTGTTGCTGGTTTCTACTCTCCCAACCCTAGTGGACCCTGCATTTTCTCCCCTGAGTGTGCTTATCTTTCCAGATGAAAAAACCCGTGTGCTATTGTTTCTGCACTTCTCCCTGTCCTCACCTCTAAACATCATATGTGTGCAGAGAAATCACACTTGTTGCTCTGTTGTCTCAAAGGGGTTAGGCCTAAGTTTGCTGAGGTGATTATGAAGGTTGTGTGAAGCTGTGTCAAACATTGAGAGACATACACACAGGCTGTAGCAGATGTGTGTTATTCTCTCAATGCATGCACTGATGATGGGGATTTAGAATGAGCCACTGTGCAAAGGATGCCCCAGAGAGACTATTCCCTATATATTATTATTCAGTGTAAGATATCCAATAAAGCAACTGGATAAATAAATGCCTATATCTAAACCTAAAATATTCACTCCCTCCTAGAGTTTTCCCTCATCCTTGAGAACAGGCCATCCACGGAGCCACCAAAATGCACTTTTAAAAAGTGTATTCACGCTACACTTCATCTTCGTGCTCCTTCTCCCCTTGACAATGTGTTATATGTTGAGAATCTTTAAATAAAACTCCTCAACCACCAAAGAATTATTTCTCCCTAGTTCTATTCATTAGTACTTCTTATCTTGAAGGCTGATTTCAATGATCATTTATCCCTCACAACTTCATACAATTTCTTCCTTTTAGAGTCCCACTGAATATTATTTATATTTATCCCATGCTGCTTTTTTATTCTAGTTTATATTATTATTTGTGAACTTTCCTAATCTCCTCTCCCAAACACACAAACCCTTCAGCTACTTCCATGGGAGGCTCTCTTATCTATTACTCTTCACATCCCCAGCCATGGGATATGCAGGAGACACTAATAGATCTAGTATATCACACAGGAAGCAGATCACTAGGACAACAATTACAAACACCAAATCCCAGTATCCACTAAAGACAGTGACAAGCGTAAAAAGACAATACCTGAGAAGGAGGTAATAAGTATTCATGAAGAAGAATTTATTAAGCCTCAGCATCTTAGCAGCTATAGCAGAATGCCATAACAAAGACAAAAATATTTCGAGTGTGAAGTTACACCATAACAAACAAATGCATCTGTCAATGAGGCCATTAGAAATCTTGCAGACCAAAGGTCCCAAACACCCACCATAACTTTCTGATTTAATAGGGTACGTGTGGGGAAACTGTACTGTTCAAAAGCACTCCTATCAGGAAAAGGCAAAAAAAGTCCCCTCACCACTCCTTCTCAACATTGTACTGGACATCCTAATATAAGACAAAAAAGGAACTAAAAGGTATACAGGTTGGGTGCAGTGGCTCACGCCTGTAATCCCAGCACTTTGGGAAGATAAGGAGGGTGGATCACAAGGTCAGGAGTTTGAGACCAGCCTGACCAGCAAGGTGAAACCCCGTCTCTACTAAAAACCTAAAAATTAGCCAGGCATGCTGGTGCATGCCTGTAATCCCAGCTACTCAGGAAGCTGAGGGCAGGAGAATCACTTGAACCCAGGAGGCAGAGGTTGCAGTGAGCCGAGATCCCACTACTGCACTCCAGTCTGGATGACAGAATGAGACTGTCTCAAAAAAGAAAAAAGCAAAAAAGTATACAGTTTGGGAAGAAAAAAAAATAAACTGTCTTTGTTTACAGGTGACATTATTGCCTATCTTAATTCCCAAAGAATTGACAAATACTCTTCTGAAACCACCAAACAATTATAGCAAGGTTGCAGAAGACCAGATTAATATACAAAAGTCAACTATTTTCCTATATATCAGAATTCAACAAGTGATATTTGAAACTAGAAAGCACAGTACCATTTACATTAGCAGCCCCCAAAATGAAATACTTATGTATAAATCTAAGAAAATATTTATGAGTCCTATATAGGAAAACTACACAACTCTGACGAAAAATGTATAAATAATAAATAAATAAATAAATAAATAAATAAATAAATAAATAAAGTGATATTCCATGTTCATGAATACAAGGACTCAATATTGTCAAGACATCAGCTGTCTGTCCCCAAATTGATCTAAACATTCAATATAATCCCATCAAAATTTTACTAAATCATTTTGTGGATATTTTGTGGACAAACTGAATCTACAGTTCATATGAAGAAGCAAAAGACCCAGAATAGACAACTCAATATTGAAGGAAAAGAACAAAGTTAGAGGACTCACACTACCTGACCTCAAGACCTACAAGAAATCTGCTACAGTAATCAAGACAGTGTGGCATTTATGAAACAGGCAAATGGATCAACGCAACAAAATAGCACAGAAATAGACCACCACAAATATAGTAAGCTGATGTTTGACAAAGGAGCAAAGGCAATACACGGGAGAACATGCAGTCTTTTCAACAAATGATGTTGGACATCCACATGCAAAAAAATAAATCCAGACACATATCTCACACTTTTCATTAAAATTTACTCAACGTGGATCAAAGGCCTAAATGTAAAACACAACACTACAAAACTTACAGAAAATAAGAGAAAATCTAGATGATCTTGGGTTCAGTGATCTATTTATTTATTTTTATTTTTTATAGTGATTACTGTGTTCCAGGATATTCTAATTTACTAATTTTTATTTTAATTTTTTTCTGTCTGGTCTCTGATTTTTTAATTTTAATTTTTATTTCAATTGTTTTGGGGTGACAAGTGGTGTTTGGTTGCATGGAAAAGTTATTTAGTGGTGATTTCTGATATTCTGGTGCACTCATCACCAGAGTAGTGCACATTGTACCCAATGTGTGCAGTCTTTTATCTCTCACTCCCCTCCCATCCTTCCCCGGGTCCCCAAAGTCCATTATATCATTCTTATGCCTTTGCAGTGACTTTTAAAATACAACATCAAAGGGATGAGCCATGAAATAAATAATTGATAAGCTGACTTCATTACAATAAAAAAGCTTTCCTTCTGCTAAAGACAATGTCAAGGGAATGAAAAGACAAGCTACAGACTGGGAGAAAATATTTACAAAGACACATCTAATAAAAGACTCTTATCCAAAATACACAAAAAACTCTTAAAATCGAACAATAAGAAAATGAACGACCCAAATAAAAAATGGACAAAAGACTTGAAAACACGCCTTATCAAAGATATACAGATCGCAAACAAGCAGAGTAAAAGATGCTCAACGTCATAGACTTACGGAATTTCTATTAAAACAATGAAATAGCATCACACACGATCGCAGTGCAGTTGAGCTTCCTCCAGGCACACTGTTCCCAGACTTGTGCAGGGCTGGTTCCCTCACTCTTTGCCTTTCTGTTTGCAGCACAAATGCTACTTCACTGAGGTGTTGACTCCCTCACTCTGTCCCTTCTGCCTCCCACCACAAGCACCTGCTTTATGTTACTATAGCACCTGCTCTTTTTTTTTCTCATGCATTTGCTTTTACGCTCTGTCCATCCATTCCTCCAAACGGTGAGCTCCTGAGGGCAGGGCCCATGCAGGTCATTTTCAGCACTGCACCCTGGTCTAACTTGCCCCTTGCACAGGTGAGTGCTCCAGGCACAGTTTCTGAATGAATAAATGAGAGTATCGAAGAGCCCCCTTCCCACCTGTGAGGAGCTCACATTGTGGGGATGGATGCTACTCACAGGAGATGCAAGTTGGGTGGGAGGCAGGGGGACATCCAGAGTGACCCTGGGAGTGTCTCTGGCTGCAGCTGCCCCACTGAGCAGAATGGGCACCGCCTTCCCTGATGGCCAGCACTGGAACTGCAGACCCAGGCGAGGAACCCAGAAACAAAGCCCTCACCTGGGTGTGGGTGTCCTCAAGGCAGTAAGACTCTCAGGGCTGAGGTGGGCAATGAAGGGGAGCTGTAAACTCCAGGAGAGATGAGAGGGGTGTCGGAAGGTTCTCTTGACCCCTCTTTCCCTCCACTGGCCCCGGAGGAGCGCAGTCCACTCATAAGGGGGGTGTCCAGTCCACCCCATCCACTTCCAAACGGGAGCCCGAGGCTGCAAGCAAGGACACCCCCCTCCACATGCAGGGTTCGGCCTCCCCTGTACCACCCAGGACCCCCGCTGTCCTGCAAGCCCAGCTGCTCCGGGCCGGGAAGGACCCCAGGGAGTGGAAGGCCTTTTCCAAGGGCACGGTGGGTCCCTGACGGGGAACCAAAGCCAGGCACGCTTCTCCCAGGCTGGGGGCCTCAGGGCACCTGAGAATGGCCATCTTTGGTACAAGGGGGTGGGGCCCCACTCCCGCGCGCCCTGTGGCCCAGGGGACGCAGGACTCTGCACCCTGACTCTAGAGCTTGCCCTAGGATGGCCCGGCCATGGAGACGCCCAGGAACGGTGAGGACTCTCTGCCCATCAGCCTAGCACCTCTGCCCTACCCTCAGTCGCGTGTACACCGTGTGTGAGGGAGAAGACAACCAGGACGTCATGCCTAGGGGGGCGTGAGCGGCAATGCCAGCCAATTGGAAAACCTTCCCCGCGCCTGCGTGGCTCTGCAAGCCAATCGAAAACTCCGTCGTGCATGCCGCCAGCCAATCAGGATGTCCAGAGCGCGGCGCTTCCAGCCATTTGAGACCCCCGCTGGCTCTGCGCCTCCAGCCAATCAGGATACCCGTCCCTGATAAAACCAGCCAGTCAGCGTGCCCGCCGCGCAACAGCAGCAGCCAGTCAGGAAGCCCAGCGTTCACGTTCCAGCCCTTGTCGGACTGTCAACCGTCACCAGGCACTTCCAGCCAATCGCAGCCGCCCGTCGCCAGCGCAGCGGTAACTGGCGCGGAGTCTGTGGGGAGTCGCGTGCGGGGCGGCGGGGCGGCGGGCGGCGGCGGCCATGGGAGATATCCCCGCCGTGGGCCTCAGCTGCTGGAAGGTGACGCGGTCGCGGCAGGGAGGCGCGCCGAACCCAGGGGAGCGCGGGACTCGGGGGCGCCCGACGGGGCCCAGGTCGGGGCCGGGGAGAAGTGCGGCGGCCTCCTCTCCGCCTAGCCGGCGCCCGCCCACCGCCCACGCGCGGCCCGGCCCGGCTTTTCCTAAAACCGAGTCGGTGTTGCCCGAGGAGGCGCTCTCCGCGAGAAGCGGGGACTTCGGCGGCCACGCCTCAGACTCGGGGGCTGCAGCCGCGGCGTTGGGCGGAGCTGCTCGGTGGAGAGGCCGAGCCCCTGCAGTCTCTCAGAGCTGGAGCGGGATGCAGAGTGGAGGCCTTGGCGGCGCTGGACTCTGCCTGAGCAGGGAACCTCGAAGCCTCCTCTCCAGTCATGAGAGAAAGAAAAGTTGGGGTCCGGCGCGGGGTGCGGGCTTGGAATCCCGGCACTTTGGGAGGCCGAGGCGGTAGGATCGCCTGAGCTCAGGAGTTCAAGACCAGCTAGGTCAACATGGCGAAACCCTGTGTCTTACCAAAAATGAACAAATCAACTGGGCTTGAGGGGTGCCTGGCTGTGGTCCCAGCTACTCAGGAGGCTGAGGTGGGAGGATCACTGGAGCCCAGAAAGTCGAGGCTGCAGTGAGTTTTGATGGCGCCACTGCACTCCAGCCTGGGGCACAGAGCCAGACCTTGCTGGGGGAAAAAAAAAAAAAAGGGAAATTGGAATTGCTGATTAGGCTTTAAAGGAAACTTTGGGACCTCATGTTCCGCCCTGTTTAGCAGTAGCCCGCCCAGATACCTGAGAAAAAGGACATATTATCGCTCTGTACATTTGTGGGGGGCACTGTAATGTTTTGAGATGTGTGTACAATTGCAGCGTGGTTAAATCAAGCTAATTAACATATCCATCACTTCTCCCAGCTATTATTGTTTGTGGTGAGATGTTTGAAATGTCTTGTTATTTTGAAATACACGTGTAGTAAATTATTGTTGACCGTTGGCATTCTAGTGTGCTGTAAGTCTTAAAAGCTGTGTCTCCTGTGTGTTTGAAACTTTGTACCTTTTGATCAGCAACTCCCCATTCCCTCCTTCCTCACCTCCCCCAGCCCCAGCCTCTTATAACCACCATTCTATTCTGTGACCTTTCTCTACTTCGAACTCAACAATTCTTGCCAGTGATTTGAGACAGCACTAAAAAGCATTTAAAATTTCATTTTTTTTTTAAAGCTAAACTTCATTGTTGATAAGAGCTTTAAGAAGTCACATAGGAAGTTAGTTACTGAAGGAGTCAGAATGTTCAAGTCCTGCTCATGAAAATATTATTTGAATTGTTTCTCCTACCTGCTTACCAACTCTTAGAGGCTAGGAGTGTAGTTTTGTTCATATTGGTTCTCAGCATCTAGTAAAGGACGTGCATCTGGCAGCCATTCATTCAGGAAGCACTTGATGGATTAAACCGTTGAGTCTCTTGCTTCCCTTTACTTCTGCAACAATTTGGTGCAGGAGTCCAGACTTCTGTGCACACAGGATAAGGAAAAATTAGTGAAAACTGTGCTTAAGCGGTCAAAATACTCTGTTTTTTTCTTGGACTGCAGGTGCATCAAATTGGATTAATCATAATCACTCATCACTGGTCTATGCAAAGGCTTATTTTTACTTGGCTATTTTTAATAGTGAATGAACATCACAGATCTATCAGTTATCTGTTGCCTCAGAAATGCTGCATCAGTGGCCAAACATCAGACCTCGGTGGTGTACAGCAGCAAGTGTGTACCTCCTACGTGGGAGGTCAGGAGACCAGCTCTGTGGACCTTAGCTGGGCTGCTTCACTTGGGAGTTGGTTGTTCTCAGTTGGGATGGTTGGGGCTACTCCACTTGGCTCCACACACCTCCTGTCCTCATGCGGTTAGTTAGGGAGTGTTCTCAAGATGATGACTGAAGCACAAGAGAGCAAGGGGAGCCGTGAGATGTCTGGAGACCTCAGCCTGGGCTCTTCATTATTAGGGGCCACTTGATCCATCTGTGTGCCTGATTGGCGCTGGCTCAATTACTACAGTTCCTTGATAAGCCCTCATACCTAGTAGGGCAGGTCACCTCTCTCTGCTCTTGTAGATTTACAGTGTAGAATTTGATGAGTTTTGACAGATGCATGTACCTGGGTCCTGGCTTTTTATTTTGGCACCTTACTCTCCACTGTAAGTTTTAGAACTAGCTTATAAGTTTCCATGGAAAACTTTATTGGGGTTTTGATTGGAACTACATTAAATCCGTCGACCAACTTGGAGATAAATGACATCTTTGTAGTATTAAATCTAACTTTTCTACAAACATGATATTCTTCTCTGTTAATAAATTGTCCCAAATATGATTCATTTCTAACATCTTTTCATATGGTTGTATAGTTTTTCCTGAAGGGAATATATGTCTTTTGTTGGAGTTATTCTTGGGTTCTTGATAGTGTGTTATACTACTGGAAATTATATTTCTCTGAAATTACGTTTTCTACTTGTTTCACCTGCTATATTCATTACACTTCCAGCCACTTTACTAAACTATACTATTATTTCTGTTAATTTGCCTTACATTTGTTTGAATTTTCTACACAAATGATCATATCATCAGCAAATAATTGTAGTTTACTTTCCTTTTTTTCCAGTCTTTAAGCTTAAAATTACTTCTTCTTAGTTGTTTAGGTGCTTCTGGAAAGCACCTCCAGCACAGTGGCTGTTCTTGTTTTGTACCTGATTTTAAAGGATGTAGGATGGGTGTTTTTAAGTATTGATATGCTATCAGATTAATTTTTTTCCCCAACTTACTGGGAGTTTAGATTTTGAATCTAAACTGGTATTGAATCTTAACAAATATTGATTGAGATGACTTTTGTTTTTATATTTTAATCTGTTAATATTGATGAATTACATATTTTCTAATAAACCATCCTTAGATGTCTGAGATACACTTAACATGGGTATGGTATATTATCTTTTCATAAATATTGTTGCATCCAATTTGCTTTTATTTTACTTAGGAATTTTGCGACGGTATTCACGAATAAGATGAATGTGTAACTTTTAATATTTTTGTCTGATTTTGATTTCAAGGTTATGCTGGTTTTGTAGAATGAGTTAAGTCCGTCTTTTTCTGTTGTTTGCAAGTTTGTGTTAAACTGAGATGATTTCTTGAACATTTTATGAAACTTTGGTGGTTTTCTCTTATTTTCAAATTACTTCCTTTCTCTAATAATTATGTAACTATTCAAGCTTTATTCTTGAGTTAAATTTTTCTAGGAATTTTCCCATTTTATATCACTTTTCCAAATTATTGACATATATAGTTATTGGTAATATTTTCTTTTAAGTCCGTTTTATCTGCATGTTTTACTTTCTATTCATGTCAGTTTTTTGAAAAGTTGGCCTCTTCATGAACCTAACCAGAAGTCTGTTTATTTTACTGAAGTTTTTCAAAGAACTGACTTCTGGTTTTGTTGATCTTCTCTGTTATATCTTTGTTTCTGTTTTATTGATGTTATTCTTAATCATATTTTTATCTTTCCATTCAATTTCTTGGGTTCTTTTTCTAACTTAAGATGGATACTTGGTTTATTAGCTTTCAACCACTCTGAATCTGTTGCCTATAAAATGAAGATAATTATGCTGCTTTTACTCCTAGGATTACTGTGAAGCTACAATGAGAAAGTGCTTTGTGAACTATAAAGCCCTTGTCAGTCTTCAGTTTAATGTGATTGCAAGCCTGCCCACCCCCATAGTCTTCCCTAGTTCTAGTTCCTTCCCTTGCCTGAGCTTCATTTAGAGTGACTCTTCTCTTTTCTGAACTACCTTATGGCTTATAGCATCATACATTCATTTGGGTTTTGTTATATGCTTCTTTTTGTATGGATACCTTCATGTGAGTCTACACCTCAACCTTTATTATTGGACGCTGTGGTATCTGAGTGTACAGGATGAATCTTAAGCCTCTTTGCATCTCAGTTATTACTCATTCTACACTTTTTTATTGCTTTGATCTTTCAGAAAGCACACCATGTAGCTCAGTTTTCTGCAGACACTAAAAATAACCTATAGTTTTTTCCCCAAAATATGTAAAGGAATTGGAACTTAGATTATTCATAAATTACTTCATAACTCTGACATTACCTGTTTTTAGACTGATTATACTAGTACCAAATTAGTGACTTAATTTTGTATGTATTATATGGCCCACATGCTTGGGTGAAAGGGGAGATTTGTGTTGGATTCCTCTGGCTGTGGGAAGACACTTTGTTTTGTTGGTTTTGCAGGCTTCTCCGGGGAAAGTGACTGAGGCAGTGAAAGTAGCCATTGACGCAGGGTACCGGCACTTCAACTGTGCTTACTTTTACCACAACGAGAAGGAGGTTGGAGCAGGGATCCGTTACAAGATCAAGGAAGGAGCCGTAAGACGGGAGGATCTGTTCATTGCCAGTAAGGTAGGGCTTCTCTGTGCAAGGCTGGCAGAGCTTGGGTAATCTCGGGAGGGCTTTCTACTTTCTTTATGGGAATTGATGACTTTGTTTCATACTTGAATCAGAATAAACAAGAATATTCACAGCTTCATGAGCATGCTGAATTATATTGTGTGCAGGTTGGTTTCATATTATTTACTTATCAGGTAGGAGTACACAGATACCCCCAATTAACAATACATTATGAAAATTGATTTAGTAATGGGCAGTTTGGCTACAGTGGTGAGTAGGACAAAGTCCTAGCCCTCATGAAGTCTGTTTACACAGCGATTCCTAAATTCAGAATCACTGGGGTGATTGTTAAATGCAGATTCCAAATTCTACCTCATGTCTGCTAAAGGAGAAACTCTGGGTGTGGAGGAAGCAGCTTGAGCACAGGCATAAGGCAGGAAGCAGCATGGCAGGTGCAGGGGTTTGTAAGAAGCTTGGTGTATTAGTCCATTCTCACGCTGCTGTAAGAACATACCTGAGACTGGGTAGTTTATAAAGAAAAAGAGGTTTAATGGACTCACAGTTTCACATGGCTGGGGAGGCCTCACAATCATGACAAAAGGCGAAGGAGGAACAAAGGCACGTCTTACGTGGTGGCAGACAAGAGAACGTGTACAGGGGAACTGACCTTTATAAAACCATCAGGTCTCATGAAACTTAAACACTATCACCCGAACAGCACAGGAAAAACCTGCCCCCATGATTCAGTTACCTCCCAGTGGGTCCCTCCTATGACAGGTAGGGATTATGGGAGCTACAATTCAAGATGAAATTTGGCTGGAGACACCGCCAAACCAAATCACTTGGTCTCTCTGGACCACATGATGTCAGGTTGCAGGAGTAACGAGCAGTGAGGCTGAGTGGTGGATGGGCTGGGCCATGGAAGTTCAGCTGTGCCCTGTCAGTAGCTGTGCTTTTTCCTAGAGACAGGAGCCCTGTTTGGTTTTTAAGTAGGGCAGCTTGTATCATATGTGAGTGCAACTTGTGTTGTGTATAGGATATTTTAGTAAGTGAAAGGAGCTTGCATTTGAGGCAGAGGCAGGAGGCCAGGTAGGAGACATTAACAGCAGTGCAGGTGGAAGATGGTGAAGGCCTGCACTGGCACAGTGGGTGAAGGAGGGAGAAGAGGAAATGGATGTGGAGGGTGGTTGGGAGGCAGGCCCTGTGGAAGATGCAGAGTGGACTACGATAGTGGAGAATTCAAGAATTCCTTTGCTTTTGATTTGGAAGCGGAATGTTAAGACCATGAGTATTAGGGATTTCATGACTCAGGCTTACAGCTTCGTTATTTGTTAAATGAGACTTTGGATTTGAGAATTTCCTGAGTAACTTTCCAGCTAAAATTTCATACCTCAGGATTCAATGTTGTTTCTATAGTTGAATTGCCTTCTGTTTTACTTTATGGAAGTTAATGTTCTTCAGTCACCATTGCTATCTGCGCTAGAGCAGAGGGTGGTAAGAGAGCAGCCTTGGTGTGTGTTTGGCCAAGCGGCGAGAATATCTTCTGAATAGTCCAGGTAGAGAAGTGAGCAACTGGAGATTTCTGAGGCTCACCCTGCAATATGGAGCAAGTTGCTTCTGTGTGGATCAGAGTCAGCAGTGGAAATATGTTCATTATTTTGGAAATTTGGAAAAGTTATAGAAATGTAATTAGAAATAAATAAATCACACATATACACACCACATAGAGACAACTGTGATTAACAGTGGAATACATTTACTTCCAGCGTTCATTTTTTTATTTTTGTGAAGATACTGTGCTCGTTTGTTTCCATTTATTTGATTGCCCTTTCTTTTACTTTCATTTAACTTATTTTTGTTTTTCCTTGCTGTGACGGAGCCTTCAGGTTAGCTTATGTCACAGTCAATAAAAGTGTAATGAGGGGAAAATCACAAGTTTTTCTGCTTAATGGAATTGTGGAAGGAAATAGCTAAAAGAAGTAAGGCAGTGTGAGTTAACTCACCTATAGGCTGACCCACATGGTTACAGTGCCTTAGGAACAGAGAACCCTTAATACGGAGTCTGTGTAAGTGAGAAACACAAGATAGAGACTTATAATTTTTCGTCGTGTCTTTTCTGCCTGCAGGAATTTCACTTTCGTTTTTGTTTTTGGTCCCAAGGGATCCAAATAACCATCAAATATTTCTTGGATTCCTGAGCTTCCCTTGAGGAGGAGTCAGGCAGAAGGAGTTCAGCTTTGGAGCCTCTCCCTGCAGGTGTCCTGGAACTCTTCTGAGGATAATGTCCCTGTCCTCCTGTCAGAACCTGCCATGTTGTATTTGTGGTCATCTCAACTCGGCTATTTTGGGTCCAAGACAGTAGCTTTGTGGGGCTACAGAACGGGTGCCATGCTGGCTCTGGGTGGGCATGTGTGACACTGGTCCTTTTTCCTTTGTAGCTGTGGTGCACCTGCCACAAGAAGTCCTTAGTGAAAACAGCATGCAGAAGGAGTCTAAAGGCCTTGAAGCTGAACTATTTGGACCTCTACCTCATACACTGGCCCATGGGTTTCAAGGTACCATTCAGTACGTAGTTCATTCCACAGTTTGCAGGACCTTCCTCCCCGTGGTTACACCCTGTCTTGTGGTGGGGAGAGCATGGACCAGCAATCAAGGCCGGGGTTCCCAGGCTGCACCTGCCATATGCTAGCTGTGGCATTTGGGCAGTCCTCTTGATATCTCTGGGGCTCAGTTAAGGAGAGGCTTGGCTTGACTTCTGAGGCCCCCACAGGTCTGTCTTTTAAGCCAGTCACTTTTTTTCCAAGCCAAGAGAGCAGCAGGTTTTCTTCCCTTAGGTTTTTAGGTGAAAGCAGCGATCAGATGAGGAAATACTGCTGCTCGGAGAAAGTTCCCCGTGAATTCCTAGGCCTTGTCTCTGCTTGCAGGTTCTGTTCTCTTTGGAGAGTAAATGCTGTTTTGCAATATGAGAGATAATTGCTTGTTCACCTGCAGCAGGGTCCGGTGGGTTATGATGGTAGTTGACTTTTCCACTTGGTTTTATTATCTTAATTGCTTCACAGTGTTTCTGGAGCACGCATCTGAGCCATGGCTCTGCCACTAAGCTACCCTAGTCTAGCCGTGCGGCTTCCCTACTCTAGGCAACCTGGTTCTGTCTCACACAGGTCCTGGCCAGGATGTCCCTGCACATTTGCCCCAGGCTGTGATGACAGCCTGCCTGGGCAAGGGCCTGGTCACACAGTTGACACCTGTGAAATACAGAAGCCCTTCCAGGGATGTTCTTCCTACAATGGAATGGGTGCCTGCTGCTCAGGAGTCTTTTACATACCAACCTGTGAGAAGTTCTCTTTATGCTGCCACACTGTTGGTTACTGTTTTAGAGTAAAATAACAAAAAACACTTCATTCCTTGCACAGCTTTACTTAACTAAGGCTTTGTATCTAGTTTCCATAAATGATGTGGGCAGCTGTTCATTAGGAAGATATCCAGAGGGCAAAACCAGAGTGATATCTGTGTCTTTGAAATTCGCTGCATGCAGAAAATCATAATTAAAACAATGGCTATAGCTATATTACACTCAATGCCAGCCAGCATTGTTATGTACCCAGAACTATTTTAGGTGCTTTACACATATTAATTCATTTAATTCTCATGACAGTTCTACAAAGTTGACACTGTTAACAACCCTTTTGGAGAGATGATAAAACTAAGACACAGAACGTTGAAGGTTTAAGTTAGATTATTGGAGCCCAGAAGTATATGCACAGGTCAGACATTTGTTACACTTTGCTTGCCCTCATCCTTTAGCAGATTCCTGTCTTTGGATTTCTGGGTGGTAGAAAAGGAAAAGGTCTCAGATCACCCAGCAAATTACAGAGGAGAATAATGCAGCATCGTCAGCATGTCTTCTGGCCAGTAGGAACTGCTAGGCCTTGTGTGATGCTGGACAATTAGATCAGAGTCCGAGTATGAGTCCTGGGCTGCAATTTTTTGGAGGCTTGGATAAATGTCAACATGGGATGTGGCTTTAAAGCGAGACTGTTCATTACTTCAGCTCATCATGGAAAATGCCTCTTGCATGTGGACCAGGCTGGAACATGTGACATTCTTCCACTGTTGCTTAGGAGTGTGATTAGGTGTCATTAAATAATGACATTCACCCTTAACACGCCATGTGGAGTGCATGAGGGAGGTAGCTGGACTGCACATCAGTGCTGCTCTGAAGGGTGACTTTAGGTTCTTGCCCTTTCAAGGTGTCTCTCTCTGCCCCTACCTCCTGTGCACCTTTGTATTCTCATTCCTCACCTGTCATCATCATGGGGATTCTAAGAAAAGAAGACAAGACCCTAACAGTGGAGGTAGGAGAGGGTTGACTGGGCCCTGTAAGACATGAAGAAAATGCATTCCTCACGCATTCTTTACCCGAAATTAGTGAACTGTTTTCTGGAGGCGATGGGAGAGGACAGCCTTGCATCAGTGAGGATACAGGGTCTTCCTTTCCCATCTCGTGAGAGATGGACAGTGAACATCAGGCTGGCAGAGGCTTTGCCAGCCACCCAGTCCATTGGCCATTGGTCTTTTCTTAGAAAGGTGAAGACTGGGCCTGGTCACGTGGCCAGGCTGGGGTTGCTTAGTGACAGGGCCGTGGCTTGGATGCAGGTCTCCTGACACTTGTTTGTTTGTTTGTTTGTGTTTTTCACACATCTCAACTGTCCTTCTTCACAGCCTCCTCATCCAGAATGGATCATGAGCTGCAGTGAACTTTCCTTCTGCCTCTCACATCCTGGAGTGCACGACTTGCCTCTGGATGAGAGCGACATGGTCATCCCTGGTGACACGGACTTCCTGGACACGTGGGAGGTGAGCTGAACCATACCACCAGGCAGCCTCACCCTGTGTGGGTCTCCAGCCAGGATGCAGTGAGCCCTGAGCTACTTGTGTTCAAAGACATCAAGGTTGTCTACCTGAGATGTGGGGTTTGCAGAACAAACAAGGAACCAATACCCGAAGAACTCAGAGACCTCAGTGACTTTCTTGTTACCTTTGGTTTGGTGTAGTGCAGCCCTCTTGATACATTATTTAAGGGGTAGCTCATTATAGACCTCACGTTTTTTCTCAAATATTTATTTTTTGATTAAAAAAACGTATTTCTTTCAGAAAATGCAGGAGAGTTCTTCCGTATTAAACTAACATCAAAAAATTTATTTTCCCGGCACCCAGCAGTTACCACTGTTAATGTTTTAAGTTTCTTTTTCTCTCAAGCATTTTAGAGTGATGAAGTTGGCAGCATGGAAGCTCAGGCTGGAGAGGTGAGACCAGTGTTGGGGAAGGTTACCAAGTGTCAGCCCATTTCCAGAGTTCGGACCAAAAACAGCCCTTTACTGCAGGGGCTTGCAGTAAAGTCTTGAGCGGGAAATTAAGGAGGTGGTGGTTCCTGGAAGTTGACCCACAGGCTGGCGTGGATCTCAGACTTGGGCTCCAGCATGGCTGACAGAGCACGTGTGGTCTTATGGTCTTGCTAACCAGCATGTGGGATGGGACGTCACATTTGAGGCCCAAGAAGAAAGTAAGCTTAAACTTAAGCTTAAGCATGCTGAGGTTAGGACAGAGCTTGCTGGGTGAAGCTCTCCAGGAAGGAGGCCAGAAGGAACCCTCGAACAGGGAGGAGTCCCAGGCTAGGCTCCCCCGATCAGTAGAAGACAAAGACTGCCCTAAGGTATCTGCGATGTCAGGACCAGGGCCCATGGGCCTCAACCCTTTCTGTCACACTGTTTTATGTCCCAAAAGACTTGGGTTAAACTCCAGGGTGCTCATGTAGCACCAGCGAGGTTCCGGTGATTGCTGCGGAGTTGAGGCAGTAACTAACTGCTGCGTATTGGCCCATTGGTCACTCAGGACTTGCTGCTGACTGCGGACCCTGGCACGAAGCCATGCTCTTCCTGAAGCTCAGGGGCAGCCTGGCTTGCTGGTCAGTAACCAGCTCAGAGCTTTAGGTTGCTCTGCCCAAAAGTTCCTTAAAATAGTACGTGGAGGAGGTGGGATAGGAGAATGATGATGCATCTGTGTGCTTAAGAAGGTCAGTGTCTCAGTGGAAAGAAAGGTGAACAAATAAAATCCACAGCAGACATGCTGGCCAGACATCAGGAGGAATAGGAACAAGAAGAGCTCACACACGTGTCGATGCTGGACGCCAGCCTTAGATGACGCATTCTGTGATTCCGCATAACCCCTAAACATCCCCGTGGCACAGGTAGTGTTGCCCTGTCCTGAAGCTGAGAAAACTGGGGCCAAGTGAGGCCATGCAACTTGTCCAGCATCCCCTAGCCAGGAAAGATGGGACTGGAATCAAACCTTGAGTGCAGAAACGCTTTTGAAGCTTCAAGTAAAATATTATAAAAATATTGGGTGCAACCAGTTTTAGAATACCATATAGAACTGCTGAGGGACATAGATTGTCAGTGCAGTAGACAGAAGCTTCACACCCAGTGGAGTCATTGTTCTGTTATAGGCCATGGAGGACCTGGTGATCATCGGGCTGGTGAAGAACATCGGAGTGTCAAACTTCAACCATGAGCAACTTGAGAGGCTTTTGAATAAGCCTGGGTTGAGGTTCAAGCCAGTAACCAACCAGGTAAGCCGATGGAAGCATCAGAGAGTTTAACCTGTGTGGCTGGTCCCCCAGCTGCCACCTCTATAGGGCTCTTCTGGAAATGGGAGGATGGGTGAAGCACAAAACAGGCCTGTTCTCCTCTGGAAGCACTCAGAATGGTGACCAAAGGCAGCAGCTAGCCAAGTGGCTTTCTTGAAGGTGCATCTGGGTAGATGGTACTGTTGGCAGACAGGGCATGAGCTGGCACTTGGCCCTCCATGTGTGGTACAGGCAGGTCACCAGGTGTGCTCAGAATTGGTTAGGGTCCTGGCAGGGGCCTCACCCTCATTCGGGAGCATGGACCTCCCCTCCGTCTCTTCCCAGCCTGCAGCCTGCAGCAAGAAAGAGTGGATGACCAGATGGCTTCACGCCAGGCTCACAGGCTGCTGAAGCTGATGGAGGCACTTCATTTTTTAATGCAGAGAAAAGACTTGTGGGGAAAGAACTACTGTATTTTCTAGACTAGCTTTGTATGTTCAAAGATCATTTATATGGTACTTAAGCTTTTTATTGAAAAGTAGAAGTGCACATGTGAAAATGGAACTGTATACATTCTCATAAACTGAGCGTAGCTCTGGGACCAGCATCCAGCTCAGTAAGCAGCACATCCAGTGCCCCTGTAACCCCTGCCAAGCACAGCATCGTTCCCATTCCCAGCAGCTGGGATTCACTTCAGAACTTTACACAGATAAAATAATAATGCGGCATAAACCCCTCTGTGCTCGCCTCTTTCACACAGCGCTGTGTTTCTATGCATGTGATTGTAGATAGCGCTGTCTTATTTCTTGTGGTATTCTGTTTTGTGAATTAACCACAATTGAGTTATCCATTCTGCTGTTAATGGGTACTTGGACAGTTTCCAGTTTGGGACTACTAAGAATAGAGCATCACGTTCTATTTTTTAAAATAAATACGCTTTTTAAAAAAGTTTTATATAGAATAGATGCACAAAAGTGTGCGAATCATAAAAGGCATACATAACTTGATGAATTTTTGCAAGTGAACAAACTCAAGTGTTCAGCACCCAGAACAAGAAAAAGGCCCTCAGCCATTCAGTAGCTCCCCTGGTCCTGTTGTGGCCGCCACTGTGAAGAGCAACCTGGCTTCTGACCCAGCTTCTAATGTAGTTTAACTTTGCCTTGTATACAACCCTATGTACGTAAGTTTTTATATTTGTTTATACAGATAGTAGCTTCCGTTTTGTGTCAGTATTTTTAGTTGTTCAGCACTTTGAATACCTGGGAATGATTATGGCATAGTCTGAGTAGACAAGGTGGAGTGGAGGGTCTGCTTTCTGATAGGATGATGGACACCCAGGAACACAGGATTCGGAAGGCTCCAGAAGGGCTGGCCTCTCTTTTGGAGGCTTTCCAAAGAGGCTGATCTTGATGAGCGTGGCATGTTCCTGAGAGCAAAAGCACTATTCATAGTTCTCTGTAATTTATACTAAATATTTATTTTAAATATCCCTATAACCTGAAATTATATATGAGAGTTTGGAGAATGTGCAAGAGACAGTGATCCTGCTCTCTACCTTCTTAAAATGATCATTCAAGTCACCGGTAGCAGGTATTTGTCACATGCAGTTCCTCAATTTCATTCATTCACTCAGTGGATATATTTTTAGCACTTCCTACATGTCTTCGTTGTTCTTAGTGTTGGCAAGACATTATGAACAAAACGAATTCAAACAAAAATCTCTGTCTTCATGAGGCTTAGATCTTGGTGACCACAGAAAGACAATAAGCAAATATGTAAAAGTAATAGTGATAGGTGCTGTCGAGGAAAATAAAGGCCTGGGGAGATGGGAGCTATGGAGTGTTACAGTCTTCACCTGAGTGCTCCGGGAAGGCCCCTCAGAGCAGGTGGTATTGGAACATTCAGATGATGTAGGCGTCCCCAAGGCCATGGACTCAGAGACTATGACAGCCGCTGGCCTCTTGGAGATTGCTTTGTCCAGCCTCCTCACAACAGAAACACTTAGGCCTGGAGCTGGCCCCCATGGCTACTCGGTGACAGCCAAGACTTTGACTCAGGTCTTATCTTGTAGAGCTTTTCTTGAGCACCAGTGGTCTGAATTTTATGTAAGCTGTGATTCTGTTATAGATTGAGTGCCACCCATATCTTACTCAGAAGAATCTGATCAGTTTTTGCCAATCCAGAGATGTGTCCGTGACTGCTTACCGTCCTCTTGGTGGCTCGTGGTAAGGATACATCAGTGGTGTGTTAGTCAGAGTCTGACTGGGAAGTAGGTGCCACCTTCTCATTTCCTTGGGATGATTGAGGGAGGATTTAACAGAGATTTTGACAGGGTGTGGAGGGATGGGACCACAGGGGGCTGTCCACACCTCTCAAGCCTGGGGTTGAAGACATGGCTTATTATTGGAAGCCAGGGAGTGGCTGTGAGTGGACTGCCCTGGGAGGGGCAGGACCTCTTCGGGGACATAAACCAGCCTGGAGTGACCCCTTTGCTGAGTTCCCCATCAGGGCGTCAGTCCCCTTCTGACCTCCCGACAAGGATGCTCCCCAGGTCTCTCCGTGGTTGGATGAGGCACAGCCTGCTGTCATCCTTACCCAGGCCCTGCAGCTGTTCTGTGCTCCCTCGATCAGCTAAGGGACCTCCAGCCATTCAGCCACCTTAACCAGAAGCTTGGAAATCATCCGTCCCCACATCCCTAGTCCAATCCAGCACCACAGTCTGTTGATTATTCTGCCAGGAGAAGCTGGACTTTGTCTCATGATTTCATTTCTGCCATCACTGTCACTGCCTTAGTTAAGTAGAATTCCCGAGGTCATTAGAGGAGCCCCTCGGCGCCCTCCCTGGCCCACTCTATTCCAACCCATTGCTCCCAGAGGAAACTGAAAGGAGCTGTCTCTTTCCTTTCCTGTGATCGTATCACTTTCCTGGGAAAAATTATTCAAGTCTTGGTGTGGCCTGTGAGATGCAGCCAGCCTGACCTGTGCCTGCCTCTGGCCTCATTCGTCCCTATCCCTGTGAACATCCTAGGCTTCAGCCACATGAAGCTGCTATGGGGTCCTTGGATAGAACATGTTTTCTCACCTTTGTGCCTTTGCAAATACAGTTTTCTTTACCCACAAATCTTTTTTTTTTTTTAATCTGGCAAACTCCAGTTTCTAACTTAAGGTTCAATCCAGCATCATCTCCTCCAGGAAGCCCTCCTGACCCCTCGTTTATGTTTCTTACACAGCCCCTGTCACATTGTCTTGTGATTTTCTTCTCAGTCTCTTCCACTAGTCAAAGCAACCAGTGTGCAGGTATCTTGTTTATTCTTCTCTTCCCAGCTCCTAGCTCAGCACCTGGGAAACATTGGGAACCCCCAAAAGGCTGAAATTACTTGACTTTTATCACCTGTGTGTTTTCTTTGTTAAGTGGGGCCTGTGTGTTTGAACTTGGTACCAGCTGGAAAGTCCCTAGAAGGCTGGGTGCGTTCCATAGCTGAGCTTTGGGGTAGAGGATCCTCTGATGGAGTGAGTCAGGGAGCTCTCAGACTGACTGGGGCGGGCCACTATGCACTCTGTTTGGTTCCTTCAGGAGACCTTGAGGACAATAATAGCACAATGCCTGAAACAGGGTGATGGCTCAGTACACACTTGTTGAAAAAATGAATCCTTCGAGTTCTCAGGACCTACCCGAGCCTGAGCAGAGGATGCATAGAGACTCTACGATCGTCTTCAAAACCACTTTTAAAGGTTCCACATGTTCACAGTGTTCACTTTTTAGTGGTATTTTGGGTGAACTTTTCTGAAAGTATCATCATCAACAAATATCGATTTGCGGCGCCGTGCCAGGGCGTACAGTAGAAGCTGCGAAGTCAGAGAGCCCTGAGAGTCAGGGGGCGTCAAAGCTTGAGAGCCCACTGGCTGCGTGCTCTGACATGGCCACCTGGTTCTTGAGGAAAAGCACAAAATACACGTGAAAAGTGGTGTTATGTAGCTTTGTTCACCGAAGTGTTAGCAGTGGTTATCTCCAGACTAGAAATGTGGGGTGATGTGCTTTTCTGCATTTAAAAATTTCCTATAGTCAGCATGTGTCATGATCAGAAAATAAATCTTTCATTTTGGACAAAGATTTCTTCTTTCTAAAGAAAGGGACATCCATGTTGGATCTCCTGGCTCACCCCCCTGTGCTGTGTCTCTCTAGTGAAGGGGTTGACCTGATAGATGACCCTGTGATCCAGAGGATTGCAAAGGAACACAGCAAGTCTCCTGCTCAGGTACTGAGGGAGGGCTGTTCTGAGCCAGGTGGGGTTCTCTGACGGCTTCACATCCTTGCGGAGTCCTGGGGCTTGGCAGGTCCCGGGAAGGGACTGGCTCACCCAGGTGAGTCCATGACTCATTAGACCCTCCCAGCGTTGAGCAGAAGTTGGTCTGCAGCCACATTCCCAGTCACTCAAGTCATGTACTCTTGTCTCCAAGCCTGTCTAGACTCAGGCCTCCCTCTGCCCCACCACCTGCATGCATGGTTAGTATGAGATGGAACAGAAAAGTTATTTAGTCTAGTCTTCTTTGTTCTAACGTCTAGTGGGGGGGCTGGGCGCATATTAAGGAATTCTCATTAAGCAGATTCTCTTGACCTCCTCCTTGGGCTGATGGCTGTCATTACCAACATATTGACAGAGCTGCTCAGTAAATGCGAGTAACAGTAACTGCTCTCATTGACTCTTGGACTCTCACTGCACCATAAAACTTACAGTGTTAGCAAATAACTTAGACTACGTGGGATTTCCCTTTGTGTGATAGTAGACTTTTTGTTTCCTTGCAGATCTTGATCCGATTTCAAATCCAGAGGAATGTGATAGTGATCCCCGGATCTATCACCCCAAGTCACATTAAAGAGAATATCCAGGTAGGTATTTTCCTTCTTTAATTTAGAGGGTTTCAGATCATGTGTTAGATGGGAAGGGATGACTCCTGTAGCATACAGCCTCAGGATCGCGGGGCTTGATGCAGCAGGGGCCTCTGCCTCTGCACTGTGGGTGTTGGTGGTTGACCTTTCACTCAGCGATCCAAGGACCCAGGCTCCTTCCATCTTAGGGCCCTCTCTCCCCTAGGGTGTTGGTGTCTTCTCCATCCAGCCCAAGATGAGGAAGGAGGGAAGAGCATTTTATTGGGAAGATTTGGATGGGCAAGGCTTGAGCATATGCATCAGTCACATGGCTGCGCTGGCCCGCAGGAGAGGCTGGATGTCTCCTAAGCGTGTGCTCAGTAGAAAGGGGCGGCAGTTGGTGGACAGGGTGCCACCTTCTGTCGCGGGGAGGTATGCCCACGTGGCCTGAGGGCACTGCTTTGAGTTGTGTGGGAAGGTTCTGGTCCTGACTCCTGTCTAGTGACTTCCGAGAGGCAGGAGTGAAGACTGGTGTGTGAAATCTGTTTTTGGAGCTATGTGAAGGAACTATGTGTGGTTTCAACCCTGACAACATAGTCTAAAACCCAGTCAGGGTCATGGACTTGGGATTCCCACAGGCCCACTCACAATTTAACTGCTGCATAACCTCTCTAAGCCTTCATTTCTTCATGAGAGCACCCCTCTGATAGGATCGCTGTGAGGGTGAAATGTAATGATATAGTGAAGGGATGGCAGAGTGCCTGGCGTATGAAAATACCTGATGCTCTTAGCTGCCTGTCACCCCCAGTCACGGATGTCACCCGTAATGATCTCACAGGCAATGACAGGCATTGGTGGCAGCCCACACCCATTGATCGTGTCGGCACAGGTGTGTGTGAGCCTGGGGCCAGCTGCACAGCTGCATTTCCATAGACAGCATGTGCCCAGGAGTGCGCTCCCTCTGGGTGTCCGAGCTGCCCATGAGCTCCACGAGGCGCTGCTGCATCCTCAGGGCTCTGTTTGGTTGTGCCAAGCAAGCATTGCCACCGGGCTTTTCTGACTGACCCATCTGTAGCAGTGCCTGTGCCCTCAGTCTCACTGTGCATGCCAAGCTGGCTGCAGGTGAGCATAGCCCTGCCATTGACAGGAGAGACAGGCCACCCACAATGGGAGGACCAGGGGATGGGCAGGCTCCTCAGGGTGTCCACAGTGCTCTCCCTGCCGGGCCCTTGTCCAGCTCACCTGCTCCCCGCATGCACTTCTCTCCTTTCTCAGGCGTCCTGCTCTTTGAATAGCCCAGAGCAGCTCTGGGTGACCAGCCAACCTTAAACCTGAAAAGTATGGATTTGGCTGAGCTGTAAACTCAGTTCTGTCCAATGGCTATTGACAGGCCTCTTGGAATGAGGCTGCAGGTCTCTTATAGTGGTTAGAATTGAGCATTGCTGACTGACTGGCATCTGCTCCACATGGGGGCCTGGTCTAAGGTGCCCTCTGTGCCCTGCAGGGCAGCTAGGATTGCCCCTGGGAGGACATAGGCTGGGGATGATTATCTGACCCTCCCATGGGAGGAGCCACTGAGTGAGCAACTCAGCAGGTGGTGGGGGGCCACATCTGCCCCAGTTCTGCCCTTGTGGCTGTCAGTGCCTGGGATGGGATCCCCATGGCCTAGTGGCAGTAAATGTGAAACAGGGACCTCAGACCCAGCTGAGATGCCCCCATTCCTCTATTAGGTCTGCTACACACTGAGGGGAAATGCCATCCCCAGGCAGTGAGACAGGACCAGGCTGACATGAGACCTGAGGGCCAAAGCAGAAGTGATCTGATGGCTGAGGACAGAGAGCAGCAGCGGGTTAGGAGGGGCTGGAGGAAGTGCTCATGCTGTCAGAAGGAGGTGGGAGCCGGGGAGAAGAAAGGCGCCCAGTGGCGCAGGCACAGGGCTCCCAGTGCAGGGTGCTGCCCCGGCCCGCCTCCTGTGGCCCCAGTGCCTCTCAGAACTGCTGCTGCAAGGCTGCCCACCCTTTGTAGGGACTCTTCTAGAACTGCTCACAATTCTCTTTAAACCCAAGAATCCCCCTACCCCAGCCCCAGCACTCCCCACTCCCTCCAGATGACATGCTGAGGCTACTTTCTCTTGGCCTCAGGAGGGGGAGGCTCTTGTGGGGGGGAGGCTGGGGTACTCCAGGTCCTTGCATTGGAATCACTCAATGCACCCCTCCTCCTACCACAAGACAGCCACTCTGCCAGGCCTGGGTGGGCGCTGATGCTGTAGCCATGGTTCCTATTCCTCAGTGTGTGGGGACAACAAAAGGGGAGGGAGGGGCAGAAAAGAATACTGTTTTCAAGGAAGAAAAATGGATCACTCAGAAAACTTACTCTGTGATGTGGTACTGTTAGAGTTCATAGTCCCAGGGCCAAGTGGGTCCTTAGTTGGCAGGTGTATGGAACAAATGGTTTTGTTGGGATTTTGAGGGGTAGCAGAGTCAGTGGGAAAAATTCTGTGCCTTTTTTTTTTTTTTTTTTTTTGAGATGGAGTCTCACTCTGTCATCCAGGCTGGAGTGCAGTGGTGTGATCTCAGCTCACCGCAGCCTCCACCTCCTGGGTTCAAGCGGTTCTCCTGCCGCAGCCTCCCGAGTAGCTGGGACTAGAGACACACGCCACCTCATCTGGCTCGTTTTCTTATTTTTAGTCGAGATGGAGTTTCACCATATTGGCCAGGCTGGTCTCCAACTCCTGACCTCGTGATCCGCCCATCTTGACCTCCAAGTGCTGGGATTGTAGGCGTGAACCACCGCACCCATCCACCATACCTTTTACCTATTCCCACGTGTCCTTTATTCCACTAAGATGAGTACAGTGTATATTTCCATCTTTCCAAGGCTTCCTAAATGTAGCCAAGGCCAAGCCAGCACCAGTCACATGATCAAAATCAAAGGGCATTTGGGGAATCCAGGCTGTGATTCAGGGAAGTTCCAAGTGTCTGATGAAGTGTTTGTTTTACATCTGTGTGTCCCTTGCAGGTCTAGCACAGTGCTATGTAGGTAACATGTGCTCCATTAAATGTGAATTAAAATTAAGTGTTCTACAAACATTGTGTTTTGGTTCCAGGTGTTTGATTTTGAGTTAACACAGCACGATATGGATAACATCCTCAGCCTAGACAGGAATCTCCGACTGGCCACGTTCACCATGTAAATATGACTCCTTCTTTTAAAAATAGAGGGAAGAATATACAGATTGGATGATTGGTGTCTGAATAGGTATTTATCATATACATTTTAAATTAATTAAACCTTCTCATTGTAATTCTTTTCCTGTTTGAAGATGGGCCACTGAATGAAGCTAATTTCACGCACTGGGGAGTTTAAAAGTGTATAACTATATCATTTAAAATGTTTCTCTTAAAAAATAATCACTCGTCGTTTCTATTTTTGATTTGTTTTTCTGTTTTTCAGAACTAAAAATCACAAAGACTACCCTTTCCACATAGAATACTAGGACAGCTTCCCGTTCCTTGTTTCTGCTCAGCCCAGATGCACCAACACCATTGGTGATGTTGACCCTCCTCTGTCATCACAGCGCCAGGGCAGCTGTGCCTGGGATGGGAGCCACACAGTCGGGGGGCTGCAAGAACCGCCTTCTCTGACAAATCTGGAGAATTGAGTGTGTTCTAAGTGAAGGCAATGGGGTTTCTCCAAGACAGCCTGTGTGGCCTCTACTCTGAAAACAAAGACACTGATGATTGATCAATGAAATTTGCCTTCACATTTTAAGAAAACTTTATCTTATGGAATTATTTAAGCCATCTGCAGAGCCGAGGAAACAGTGTAATGTGTCTCTGCCCCATTGCCCAGCTCCACCAATTGTGCCCCAGGCCAGCCTGCATCACCTTCACTTCCTTCTCTGCCCTGCCAGTGACCCCCAGGTTGTTCTAAAGCAGAGTCCTTCCCTTCTCCCAGTGGGAAGTGAAATGGGGTAAGTCTGGGACACTGTCAGAGTTCAATAAAGAGGCTTTTTTCTTCCTTAAAAATTTGAATTTTAGTTTCTTTTTTTTTTTTTTTTTGGAGACAGTCTCACTATGTCGCCCAGGCTGGAGTATAGTCAAGTGATCTCGGTTCACTGCAACCTCCGCCTCCTGGGCTTAAGTGGTCCTCCTGCCTCAGCCTCCCAAGTAGCTGGTTAATTCCTAAATACTAGTTTTTAATATGGTCTTCTGATAAGTCAGATTATACCTGGAGAACCCCCATAGCGGAGATGAAATACAGTTCACTTCCTCACATCTGCTCATTCAGCCTGTTTAGATTCATGTATCAGAAGGAGGCCCTGCAGAGCATGGTGTTCACGCCCAGGCGTTGGTAGAGGGTATGGTTTAATGGACTTCATGTGGTCCAGACGCTGTGATCCCTGTCCTTGCTGTCTGCTCAACGAATCTGGCCTAGCTCCTGTACCCTGGGATTCACATGAATCTCCAGGGATACAACTTCTCAACTCACAGGCCCTTGGCTGCTATTCAAAATGAGTTAAGCCAGAAGGAAATTGATGTTTGCTCCATGGTCTCTTCCCACTTCCTGCGTCCCCCACATCAGCCTCCATACGAGCCTCTCATTTCCTCCTCATGTCAGGGAAGATACGGAGGTGTTGCCCAGTGGCTGAAGGGGACTGTTTGGGGACAGTACTCTCCACATCACTTCCCATTTTCACTTTATCACAGGCAGGCCAGCTGAGTCAGAGATGTAGGTTCTACAGATAAAAGCTGTGCCTTTCTAGCTCTGTGATTCTGAGCAGACTGCCTCACCTCCCAGCCCTCAGTGTCCTTGTCCACTCAATGGAGGAATTGCAGTACCTCCCGGTTGTGGAGACAGTGTCTGGCCCAGGATATGTCCCAGCAAGAATGCACTGTTGCTAAGACCAGTATCTTTGCCGTTGCCTTGTTCCTCAGTTTCTCATCCACCTCCCTGCCCAGCCTTCCAGATGTGCAGGGGTGTGTAGGAACCTTCTAGCTTGGCCTCAAGAGAGGACTTTGCTGCAGGTGTCCCAAAACGAAAAGACATGTGACTGGTGCAAGAGCTTCATGGGAGCCTTACCTTCGTGGGAGTAGGATTGAGGGTGGGGTGTCATGGTTTGACCAAATTTCCAAGGGGAGTTTAATCAGAAGACTGTTTACAAAGGACGCAGGAAATGGGAGGGTCTTTGGACCTTCCTGTGATCAGGCCCTGCTCCACCACCATGGACCTTTAATTTTTCCATGTTCATGACTCCTTATCATTCATTAACTGTGTGACTTTGTGCAAGTTACTTAACCTCTTTAAACTCTTTGTCACTGTCTGCCTAGAGTTGTTAGAATTCAGTGGCACAGTGCACATGCAGCAGGTGACAGTCATCTGCATGTAGCACTCCTGTGAACACGTGCGTGTGTAGATGTGTGACTTGTATTTTATATCCCACAGAGTCAAAAATCTAAGTGCTGTTTTGTGAATTTTCCTTGTCACTTATACCTAAACCATCGTTCATTGACCTTAAAAGTAGAGAGTAGAATGGTGGTTACCAGAGGGTGGGGAGCACAGGGGTGGATGGCTGATGAGGAGAGGTTAGTCAGCAAGGACAAAGTTGCAGTTGGGAGCAATGAGTCCCAGTGCTCCATTGCACAGTAACACAAGTTGATTAACAATAATACGTCATGTGTCTCACGATAGCTGGCCAATGAGGATCCACTGCGGTATTTGCATTTCATGGATTTACTTCCAACAGGCGTGAAAACTGAGTGAAGCCGGCCACCAGGTGGCGCTGGGAAGCACTTAATGTTCCAGCGCATCTGCGACTCTTAACAGGAGATGGCAGGCTTTTACTGTCTTTGATTTTAAGACATCTTCAACTTTGTACAGTCACAGTGAGGAAGGAAGCAATGGATAGTAAAAATAAGCAAACACTGGGCAATTGCAGAGCTTAAAAAGTTTCACAGAGGTTATGCAGCCTCATTCTTGAACAGTATTTCCCAGTTCCCTTTTCAGATGGTAATTGATAACCTCTTGTCTGTTCATTCTGAGTGGAGCTGACAAGCCCTCGCCTTCCTCGGTTCCCTGCTTTTCTCTGGGGAATGTAGCTTCTGTGTAAGCTCTTCCCCAGTCCGGGGCCTGGAGATCAAGGTCCGTAGAGGACATGTAAACGTGTGCCCTTAAGGGACCCTCTGCGTCAGATGATTGCGGGCATCTCTCCTGACTTTAAGACTGGGAGATACTCAGATACTCGTTTCAGTAGCTGCTTCTCCTCATTGGCACTCACTTTATTTGAATGGAAAATCCAAGGATAAGTGGCAATCAAAGGCTTAAAAAGCTGGAAACAGATTCGGGAGGTGTGGATGGGCATCAAATGGGCATCAAGGAGCAAGAGACCTTAGGGAGGATGGCAGGGGCTCACTGACTGATGGCGGTTTATGTTTGATTGTTCTGAGAAACTGCAAACTGTTTCCGAAAGTGCACAGGCTTACAGTCCCATCAGCAATGTGCGAAGTTCCGGTTTCTCCGCACCCTCGCCAGCATTAGTTTTGGTCTGCCCCTGTTGTTGTTACAGCTATTTTAGTGGGTGTTAAATGGTGTCTCATTGTGGATTTAATTACAATTCCTTACTGCCTAATGATCTGAGCATCTTTTCATGTGCTTATTGGCCATTTGTATGTCTTTTGTGAAATCCCCCATGGCATTCCTCTGAGTTCACTGTGGTGCTGCAGGGTGACTATGTGCACAGTCTTAGAACTGTGCATTTAGACACTATTTATTAGTTCCCAACTTTAATCAGTGATAAAATTTGCATTTTAGCATATTTTTATTTCTCCGTCTTTTCTCTTTCTTCCATTTCTCCTTTTCTTCACACAGACATCTAATATGCACCTTAAACTTTATGTGTCTGAAACAATGCTTCAAGCATAACCCCGGCTCTCCAACGAGCTTTCTTTATTGTTATTCCTTAGTCATAAAGATGAGGAAGACAGGGTCTTGCCCTTAAACACCCAAGTTGAAGTGGGACAGGCAAGCATGTGGAAGTGATCACAGTACAGTGACGTGTGACTGGCTCTGGCTGGGTTTGGGCACATTTTCATTTTATATCATGAAATTGATCAAGACCCTGTGTCTTCATTGTGTTTCCTTTTTCGTGTTATGCAGCATATTTTCACAAGACTGGATTCTTTCACGTACCCCTACACTGGGGCAAATCAGCTCTCCAGACCTAGGTTAGCAACATTAGATGATGTGACATCCACCGTGCCGTGGTCATTGTCACTCCTGGTTGGATTCTGCTCTGGGCAGAGAGGGCTAGTGGGTGTGACTCTAGGCCCAGTTTCCATGGCCTGGCAGTCCTCACTAGGAGGCTAGTGCTGGACTGGAAGCCTGTCTTCACTAACTGGTTTCTGGTGCTTTGAACACATGGAGATCAAGGAAAACTACAATTTTTAGTGTGCATTTCTGTCACATATGGCCTCTGTCACTTAGAATTATATCCATGCTGCAACACCAATCCCTCCCTAACATTAGCTAGTACTAACTTGATGCTTTCTGTGTGCCAGGTACTATTCTATAAGTATGTTACACATTTTAACTCAATCTTCACAGAAAGGTAGGATTTACCATGATTTCCATTTTATAGATGAAATAACCAAGGAATAGAGAAGTTAAGTAAATTACCCACAAATACCCAGATAGTAAAGTGATGTAAGTAGAATTTGACTCGGGAAATCTGGCTTCAGAGGCTGGGCTCTTAGTTATACACCATGTGGGAAACGGTTAACTATGCACTCTTTGTGTTGAAATTAATCTTTTTAAACTATGTAAATAAGAGGGTGATTCTTGGTGTTGATGTCCTGAGAAGATAGGACATATTCCACCCCCCAGGACTGGCATGTGGCCCAGTGGCAGTGCCAGCACCTTCGAACACACAGCTCTATTCCATGTGACACCAGTGGAAAACCAAACATTTCTTGGCACTGTTGATGAGTATTTGGATGAAAAAAAAACGGAAGAGCTCATTAAACCTGCAAAACTCTGTTCCAGAGGTGACCAGCATTACTTCCCCTGGGAAATCACTGAAAAACAATTACCCTGAGACACAGATTGGTGAGTCACATGAATTCAAGCCATTCTATGCTTAATTTACTTCCAGCCCTGATTTTAAACAGAGGAAGTATATTTAAACCCAGAAGGAGATATGGAAACAGCAGTTTCTTGGCTAGAAAAATCAGCATCTCTAGGGGGAAGTGGAAAAGTCTCAAAGAGCTGAAGAGCATGAAAAAGGCTCCTTCTCTTGTCAAGATAGATCACAGCCCTCGTTAGTGAAGAAGATTCTACAGGCAGAAAGGGCCCTGAACAAATGCTCGGCAACAACAGAAACTGTGGTGCAATTAATTCTTGTAAAAAGTAAGATAGAAATAGCTCCATCAATGGAAGGAGAATACAGTTAGCTAGAGGCTACCTAAAACAAGAGAATCTCTGAAATTAAGTTAGATTAAGTTGGATTGAGTAGTGACAGCTGCAGGGACAGACCTTCACCACTGTGCCACCCCACCGGGTGTCTAATGAATTTATGCTGAAGCAGGTTAGGAAAATTGGCAAGCAGAAAATACAACAGAGATGGATGGGCAAGGTCTGCTGGAATTGCTACTGCTTTTTTATTTTCATTTTATTTTGTTGTTCTAAAAATATTTTATTTTATTTTATTGGCTTACATGGCAGAAATTTATTTTCTCACAGTTTTGGAGGCTAGAAGTCTAGGGTCAAGGTGTTAACAGATTTGATTTCTTCTAAGGCCTCTCTCCAGGACTTTTCCTTCTGTGTCCTCACGTAGTCTTCCTTCTGTGTGAGTCTTGAGGGCTATTTTAAAGCTGAAGAGATAAAAGAGGTTGTGGGGCTATGTCTTAAGACAAAAGAACATTTAGGAAACCTCAGGAAATGATCAGAGGGGGATAGATGTTACTAGAAGAAACAAATAAATTGGATTCAATTAGGAGTTGGAATCATTTACAAAGCAATGGGGAAAGTAAGC